ATTCACAACACACTAAAATATCTCCACATACAGATTGATTAAATAAATGTAATAGAAATTTTAAATGTCGGCTGGGTGCTGGTGGCGCACGCTTTTAATCCCAGCACTTGAAAAGCAGAGGCAGCTGGATCTCTGTGAGTTCGAGGCCAGCCTGGCATACATAGCAAGTTTCAGAATAGCCAGGGCTACACAGAGAAACTTGTCTTAAACAAACAAACAAACGAACAAATAAATAGATGTTTAAATATCAGTTTGGGGGTGGGGATATGGCACAGTCAGTAATGTTCTTGGCATGCCAACAGGAGGCCATAAATTCAGAGGCTCTGAAATCTCTGCACCGTGGTGGCAGAGACAGGTGGCTCACTGAGCTCACTAGCCAGCCAGTCTAGCCTACTTGTGCACTTCAGGCTGGGAGAGATCCTGTGTTAAAGAATGGGGAGGAAGGGAGAAGGCTGACTCATGAGGGAGTGGCACTATTTGAAAGGGTTGGGAGCTGTGGCCTTGTTGGGAAAGTGTATCACTGGGGGTGGGCTTTGAGGTTTAAAAAGCCCAATCAGGCTCAGGGTCTCTCTGCTGCCTGCATGTCTGGATGGAGAACTCTTCCTGCCTGTGTGCTGCTATGTCCTACCACTAGGACAATGGACTAGATGTCTGAAACTTTAAGCAAACCCCAACTAAATCTCTTTTTATAAGAGCTGCTGTGGTCATAGTGTCTCTTCGCAGCAATAGAACACTGGCTAAGACAGTCTGCACACACCATGCCATGTTCATAGGAAAGTCACTAAAGGACTTGGTTGGAGAGATGGCTTAGCAGTTAAGAACATTGGCTGCTCTTCCTGCGGACCTGGGTTCAATTCCCAGCACCCATATGGGACCTCACAACTGTCTCTAACTCCAGTTCCAGGGGATCTGACTCCCTCACACAGACATGAAATTGAAAAATGAAAATTATGCCCTGGCAATGCTGAAGCACGCATGGGCAGCCCCATATGAATGGTTCTGTTGAACTTGTCCATATTGGGTTTCATGGTCTAAGATGATGAGGACGACTGACCAGGTCTCTTCCTTAAGAGGGCACCAGATCTCAGTACAGATGGTTGTGAGCCGCCATGTGGTTGCTGGGAATTGAACTCAGAACCTTTGGAAGATCCATCTCTCCAGCCCACTCACACAGACATACAGGCAGGCAAATCACCAATGCACATAAAGTAAAAATAAATAAAATCAGCTGGCAGTGATGGTGCACACCTTTAATCCCAGCACTCCAGATGCAGAGGCAGGTGGATCTCTGTGAGTTTGAGGCCAGCTGGGTCTACAGAGCAAGTTCTAGGACAGTCAAGGCTGCACACAGAAACGCTGTCTTGAAAACTAAAAATAAACAAATAAATAAATCATTTAAAAAAATGATTTGGACCATGTAAGAAGGCACAAGCCACTTTCCACCTGGGACCATGACCTGGCTCCCTGTAGGGTCATCCAGCCTGGTGCTTAGGGGAGGGACAATGAAGGTGATGGGGGTCACTGCACTCGCATCCAGGCCACAGAAGGGACCTTGTGGGAGGCTGACCTAGTGACAATGACAATGCCACCATGATGATAGCCATGCTCACCTAAGTGCCTCCTAGCCTTAGCACATGCTAAGCCCTTATGCTGATACTGCCTTCAAACACCCTAACAACCCATTTGACAGACGAGGGAACTGAGGCTCCAAGAGGGGAAGGCACTTGCCTGTGGCCACAGTCTTCAGCGGCTCCGACTAGGTCTTCTGGACTAGGGCTGGAGGTTGGAGGACCATCAACATGTGGGACCTTCTGAGGCCCCACTCCTGTTTTCTACCACGTCTAATCTGCCCCTCAGGGTCCTGGCTGTAGGCATGAGACCTCACCCTCAGCCCAGAGGTTTCCTGGGCACTGACCACATGCCCTGTGCTCTGAGTGAGGGCTGAGCTGGACAGATGCCTCCAGACCCTGCAGTTCTAGTAATGGTGACACCACGCATTGTGCTTCCCCAGCTCCCTTCCTCTTGTCCAGGGCACGGATCGGGAAACTGAGATTTAGAGGTGAGAACCGACTTTATCAACACTGTTTCCACAATAATGGGAGGGGAGGCAAACAGAGTCCAGCCTGACCAAGGCCTGGGCTCCAGGGGTGACAGTACCCCAGGGCATCAGAAGGGTAACAGGCCTGCTCCTCAGTGGAGGGTGGCTGTCCCTGCATGGAGGAGGTAACCGGGGTCCCTCTTGGCAGCTGAGCTTTGAACTGTGGGGGGCCAAACACACCTGGCTATTTTTTTTTTTTGGTTAGCCTGGAACTTGCTTTGTAGACCAGGCTGGCCTTGAACTCAGCTTCACCTACTTCTGCATCCCAAGTTTTGGGATTAAAAGCATGTGCTACCATGCCCAGATTGTTGTCGGTGTTTTGACACTGTCTCATGTAGCTTAGGTTAGCCTCAAACTATGTAGCCAAGAATGGCTTTGGACTTGTGATCTTCTTGCCTCTTCATCCTGAGTGCTAGGATTTGGAAACATGTCACCATGGCGGGTTTGACGTGTCCTGAGCATGGGACCCATGGCTTTGTCCATACTAGGCAAGCACTCTACCGGTTGAGCCCCAGTTGCCCGCCTTGTTATCTGTCATGTTTTTCTCCCACTAGGCTAAGATGCTGGAGACCACATTCCATGTAGGGGCAGTGGCTCCAGAGGTGTATGCTGGCTCCTGCATGTTCAAAGCCATCCCCTCCATTCAGTTTGCTGGGGGGCCCTTGCTCTACCACATTAGAGGCTTGTCCATTTCTGGGGCAGCCGGGTTTTCACTGAAACTCCTTCCAGAATCAGAGGAGCCACCTTTTCCTGGACCTCATGCAGAGGGTGGGAGCAAAGACTCACAGAGCACCCTAGGGACCCAGAAGCGCCAGGAGGATGAGCTTGGGTATCACCTCCAGGTAAAGGGGATGGTTTGCTTTCCACATGGCCACAAGGCAACTGGCACATGGCCGTGCCAACCTGGAGGGTTAGAGGCCAAGACTTTAGCAAAGGAAACTGACCATCAGACTCCCTCCTCCAGAGACATCCGTGAGAACGAGCAAGCTAGTACTCCAGGAAGATCAGCGTGCATAAGTAGGGGACCTTAGGTGGGTCCCTTGAACCTTCAGACTCTAGAAAAATTCTGGGCAATTTGTAGGGTCTCTGAACTGAGCATGGAGAAGGGGACAACGGGGGGGGGGCAGCTCAGTACTGTCTGTAAGTGGTCAGAACAATGATTTGACAGTGACATCCCTCTAGGTCACTCAGAAGAGCCCTCAATCTCACCCCGTAGTTTTGGCTTCTTTGTACTCTGCCTGGGCAGCAGCAGGGTGCAGGGTTGCATGCAAGACTCTGTATGCTCAAGGCCCCCCAGTGTGCAGGGGGCCCTTGCCTCACCACTCTAGAGGCTTGTCTGTTTCTGGGGCACCCTTCCTGCCTAACCTCATTAGATGAGTTCCTTAGTTTCTCAGGGAACCTGCTGATCCTGGAAGGGGTAGGGCTGCGTCCTCCCCAAAGGCCTGGCGAGACCAGGTGACAGGTGGCCAGCAGGCACACTCACCTAGTAGCAGGTTCATGAGCACCTCCTGGCCTGCCAGGGTGCTGCTTCTCACCAGGCAGAGAATGGTGCCCCCGATCCAAGGGATGCCATGGCCTGTGATGCCAATGAGCTTGACCATGGAGCGGGCACTGGCCCAGGATGCAGTCCGGCCGGCACACACCCCCAGTCGCTTGGACATGCAGATGTCAATGGCCAGGAGGGAGTTGAAGGCGATGCCCTTGAATGAAGGGTTCAGCTGCATGCAGTCCTCCTCCGGCAGCTGCTGAGACTGGCGACGCTCCCGGGCCCCGTCGCTGGAGGGTGGGGGCTGTGTCGAGGGCCCTGAGGCCTTCCTACCTGAGCTTCTGGGCTCCTGGGTCCCCTTGGGGGGCTGATTCAGGGACAGGAACTCAGTCCGGTTGAGGACATTGTTGCGGTCTCTGGCACGGGCCCGGCTCTGGGAAGCTGGCATGGTGACCTCACTCACTCTGAGAAGGCCAGTCCCAGCCCAGTTCCAAGGGCCTTCTCCCAGAAGACAAGAGCCGCCACCTTCTCTGTAGCAGCTGTTAAATATAGAGAGGAGGATAGCACATGGCTATTTACCTCCGACTGACACCCGGCTCCGAGGGGACGTCAGTGCCAGCTGGGCAGCCAATGGAGCCCACCCTTGCGGGGCCAGAGCCAATAGAGCCACCCGAGAGGCGGATGAGTCCACAGCTGAGGCCTGGCTGCCTCGGGCCTGGGCTATTTAAATCTGCCAATGGCTGGTTCTCGAGCGCTGAAGAACTCTGGGAAATGTAGTCCATTTTTTGGCTTCAGCAGCGGCCTCCCCTCTGGACTCTGGCCCTAGCAAGAGATGGACCCAAATTAACCTGCTTTTTTCAGTTGTAATCTTGACCAATCCAGACCCTTAGTAGCCAGGCCCTCCTATTTATTCCCCTGACTGGGAGGTGGAAACCTAGTTCCAGGGTCTGGAGGGAGTTCTTTTTTTTTTTTTTTTTTTTTTTTTTTGATTTTTCGAGACAGGGTTTCTCCGTAGCTTTTGGTTCCTGTTCTGGAACTAGCTCTTGTAGACCAGGCTGGCCTCGAACTCACAGAGATCCACCTGCCTTTGCCTCCCGAGTGCTGGGATTAAAGGCGTGAGCCACCACAGCCTGGCTGGAGGGAGTTCTTGATCTCACAACTACCCTCGTAGTAAGAACATTCAATTTCCAGGTCCGATTATCTTTTTTTTCTTCCTTCCTTCCTTCCTTCCTTTCTCTCTCTCTTTCTCTCTCTCTCTTTCTTTCCTTCATTCCCTCCCTCTCTCCCTCCCTCCCTTCCTTCCTTCTCCTCCTCCTCTTCCCTTTTTTAAAATCTGGGGTTGAGTTTACTGTAAAGAATCACGGTGCAGACTCCACACATCCCTCGGCTCTTGTCATCTCTGCATTTGCTGTCTCCTTCAAAACCTCAGGCTGGCTACCTCCAACGCCCCCGACGCTATGGAGGAGTGGGATGTGCCCCAGATGAAGAAGGAGGTGGAGAGCCTCAAGTACCAACTGGCCTTCAAAAGGGAGATGTCCTCCAAGACGATCCCTGAGCTTCTCAAATGGATCGAGGATGGGATCCCCAAGGACCCCTTCCTGAACCCTGACCTGATGAAGAACAACCCTTGGGTAGAGAAGGCCAAGTGTACCATTCTATGAGCCTGACCCACACTCTGTAAGGCGTGACTTTATAAATAGACTTCTCCAGGAAAAAAAAAAAAAGAATCACGGTGCAGTCAAACGGCTGTTTGTGAGCCTGGCTTTTCATTAGAGAGATGGATAATTAATTGGGAAAATATCTGCCTCTTAGAGGCTGCCTCTAGTACTTGGAACTGTTACAAGGGTCTTAAGTACCCACACATAGCCACTGAGATCCAGGTTCTGTGCTAGGGTTGGGCACACTACAGAGTGAAGCTGGCCTTTCCCCAACGATCAGGAAGATCAAGGTTCCCTACAGATTAATCAGACGAGACATAAATGACCACAACTGTAGGAAGGCCCTGCAGGACCCAGGCATGGAGGGGCTGGTTGATGAAGGAAGCATACACGTGAGAAGCTGAGGGGGAGAGACTGTCCTGTAGGAAGGATGAAGCATCGGTTGTTGGTACATGGGAAAGGAGAGAAGAAGGGGGTGCATCCCAGAGGGTACCCCAGAGGGCAGCTAGAGAGGCCCTGATGAGCATATGGGGCTTGAGGGAGGCCTCCTGCAGCTCCCCTGGTAGTGGCTAAAACTGATGCCCGCAGCCCTTTGAGGCGGCCTGGCAATAGGCTGCTGATGGGAGATGATGCTCAGTGTGATTGGCTAAACAGTGAAAAGTAGCCACTTGGGCTCATCACATTGGGATTATGGTTTGTCTTCTGCCAAGTTCAGCCCAAAACACAGCCTATGCATGAAGGCCCAGAACTACCAGAGAAACTTTCAAGGACAAGGAACCAACTCAGGTCCTGTTGGCTCTAGTTTCAGCAGACCAGTCCAGGCTCTAGAGGCAGGGACACAGGGATCCATCTCACACCAGCGGCAAGATCTCGCTCAGCCCATCACTCCTCTGAGCCTTGTTGCTTCTTCCTGTAACAGGCATCATCGTGCCCACCTTGTAGGACTGTGGAAGGCACTCAAATAGAAGATGTTTCCATGTGACATTGAGTGAAGTCTCCTCTTCCTTCAGTAGGACTCAGCTCATGGCCTGACTCTGTCCCATTCTTGACTGGGATGAGGCAAGTATCCAGCTTTAGTGTGGGGTTCCTTGCAAAATCCAGTCACATACAGCTTGGCTAAACTAGGTACCCATTCCTCCTCTTCTAGAATGTTCATTTCAAGCCAAGCATGGGGTGAGAGAGCCATCACACATGTCCTCTCGGGTGTGGCAACAAGACATGAGCTCCCTCATCTTGGACTCCAGGCAAGTTGTTCTTGCCTGAAAAATGATCAATAACGGACATATGTTTGGTTTTGAATAAGTGAGTTTATTAAGTATAAAGCAAGTCAAAGAAAAAGAATAAATAGCAAATAATAGAGAAAGAGGGATAGTGGTTTGAAGGAGGTGTCCCTCATAGCCTCAGACATCTGAATACTTGGTGATCTTGAAACATCAGACACTGTTAAGGAGGCTTAAGTGGCCTTATTGGATGTGTTTAAAGACTCATGCCATTTTGAGTTCACTCTCATTTTGTGCTTGTGGTCCAAGATGTGAGCCCTCAGCTTGCTGCTGCTGCCACCAACATGCCTTTGCTCCACCCTCTGGAACCATAAGCCCAAATAAACTCTTCTGTAAGTCGCCTTGGTCATGGCGTTTTATCACAGCAACAGGAAAGTGACTGAGATAGATAGGAAGATGGATGGATGGATGGGTAGAAGAAAGGATGGATAGAAGAATGGATTTAAGGGTGATGGAAGGAAGAATGGATGGAAGGAAGGAAAGATGGATGGAAGGAAGGAAGAATTGATGGATTGATGATGGATGGATAGAAGGATGGATTTAAGGGTGATGGAAGGAAGGATGATGGATGGGAGGAAGGATGGATGGAAAGATGGGTGGATGGAAAGATGGGTGGATGGATGGAAGGAAGGATGGATAGATGGAAGGAAGGAAGGATGGATAGATGGAAGGAAGGAAGGATGGAAGGAAGGATGGATGGATGGATGGATGACAGGCAGTCAGGCAGATGACAAAACATCATCATATTGAATACTTAAAGCATCCCGCAGAAATTGAATGGGACACCACCTTTGGGGCAGTCAGCTGGTGTCCCTGACAGAGAAGAGTGACCCCTTGGGCTAGGCTTCCAAGTAAGAGAACAAATACAAACACACAGAGATGCCATCATCAAAGTGGGCACTGACAACGTCTAGCAGGAACTGCCCGGGAAGCTGAGGCAGCTGGAGTTCCCGCTGAGCTCTCTCTCCGTGGGTGATGTCTTTCCCATTGCAGACACTTTGACATCTCTGGGTAAACAGTAGTAACATCTGTTGGTAACCGTTCACCTTTCAGCTGTGCTCAAGAACCTGCTTTTATTTTCCATCTGAGACAGTGATGGGGGAGTGTCATATATCAATCTGTTGATTTCATTGGTTAAGCAATAAAGAAACTGCTTGGCCCTCATAGGTTAAAACATAGGTGGGTGGAGTAAACAGAACAGAATGCTGGGAGAAAGAAGCTGAGTCGGAGAGTCGCCATGATTCTCCCACTCCAGGCAGACACAGGTTAAGATCATTCCTGGTAAGCCAGCTCATGGGCTACACAGATTATAAGAAATGGGCTAGTCCAGGTGCGAGAGTTAGCCAAGAAAAGGCTAGATATAATGGGCCAAGCAGTGTTTAAAAGAATACAGTTTCCATGTAATTATTTCGGGTAAAGCTAGCCGTGTGGGCGGCCGGGTGCCGGAACGTAGCCCGCCACTCCTAATACAACAAGACAGAGTCTCACTATGCAGACCATGCTGGTCTTGAACTCACAGAAATCCATCTGCCTCTGCCTCCAAGCGCAGGGGATTAGCGGTGGGTGGAAGCCTATCTGTTTTCTTCCTTTCCTGTCTCAGAGTCTGAGGGCCACCCATCCCCAGACAAGGAGTCTTGGAGGGAACTTTGGAACAAACATACTTAGGTTTGAAATGGGGTGGGGAGGCCCTACTTCCAAAGCCAGCCTCAGGGAACTGGAACAATATGAAAATGTCCCGATATAATGCGCATTACACAGGGGGACCCTATGTCCTGAAGAGGGGTGCCCAAATGTGTGGACACTGGGAAGTATACTTCAACTGACTGACACCATTCAACCAAGAAGCGGTCATGCTGACCCCACTGGACAGATACGGAAGTTGAGTCTCAGAGAGGTGAAGGCATCCAGTCGAGAACTGAAAAGAAGCAAGACCCAGACTCCTAAGCAGTCTCCAGGATAGGGACATTGAAGCCTTTCGGCTTAGATTCTTCAGTCCGCAGGGACTGGAAATGTTTGATCAATTCTTTGCCAGGAAAGTCACCTTACCCTTCAGGGTGGGGCCATGACCTGGACTGGCTTCATCAGGGGCTGAGGAGCCCAGACAGCCAGGACTATTAATGCCTAAGGCTGTGTCAGCGTTTTCTTCTGGCTAGAGTGGCCAGTAAGTTCTGTGGAGGCCATGGGGTCCAGTTTAGCCTGTCAGTGGTTAAGACAGACCGTGGAAAGCAACAGTCCTAGGTTCAATCCCTGGCTTAGCCACCATCAACTGGGTGGCCACAGGCAAACCATCCTACCCATCAGAACCCTGTAAAAACCTCACTCAGCACAGGTGATGCTGTCTTCCCGTGTGACCAGGACCCCACTACTCCTCTCTCTGCTGGGAGAGCGCGGGTTATTTTCACAGACGGCTGAGAAGCAAGTACCATGTCTCAATTCATAAACCTTCATCAGCACCCACTACAGGACACAGTCCAACTTCTCAACAGTCTTGGCATTCCCTCAGTTATTCAGACAATGCTTTCATTGATCTCTTCCTGCAGATTAGCTGCGGAGACAGGGCACACATCCTTGAAATGATGAGGTACTTAAAAGACAGTAAAATATCACCAATAAATATTCTTTTTGCCATCAGAAGTTCATTTGATTTGATTTTTCGAGACAGGGTTTCTTTGTGTCATCCTGGCTGTCCTAGAATTCTCTCTGTAGGCCAGGCTGGCCTCAAACTCAGAGAGATTCACCTTCTTCTGCTTCTGGAGTACTAGGGTTAATGTACTGGCAAAATGTTACTTTTTGCTACAATAAACTTAATTATTATTACAGATGACAGTTATAATCCTATCACTCGAAAACTAATACATTAACATAGGTGGAATACTTGTTTCATTTCCAATTATTGCAACATTTCTGTTTTAATAAACAGAAAGTAAAAAGCAAATACTATCCATGTATATTGTATCTATTTGCATATATAAAAACACATTTAAAATATGATTACATTTTAGAATATGACTTATCTTTTTTACTTAAAAATAAATTTGACCATGTTTCCATGACCATCAATCTCGTCCTTTTTCTTTTTTCTTTTTTTTTATATGTATGGATGTTTTGCCTGCATGCATGTCTGTGCACCACATGTGTACCTGGTGCCTGCAGAGACCAGAAGAGGGTGCTAGATCCCCTGGAACAGGAGTTACAGTCATGAGTGGCCATGTGGGTGCTGGGAAATGAACCCAGGTCCTCTGGAAGAGCAGTTAGAGCTTTTAACCACTGAACCATCTCTCCAGCCTCCTATTATTTCTTAATAACTGCCGTTTGTCACATAGAGAGGCCACCACCTACGTAAGAGCCCCTCCATCATTCCTGCTTTTGTTTTGTAGCTACTGTCTTCAAAACTATTGTGGAGTGAGCATACTCGCACACACGTCCCTGCATTCCAGAACTACTGTGGGGTGAACATACTCACAAACACTTCCCTGTGTTCAGGAACTACTGTGGGTGAGCATACTCGCACACACGTCCCTGCATTCAGGAACAGGATGTAAACAAGCACAAGCCAAACAAGACGCTGTGGTTTGTTGGGCTACCGTGAGCTGCTGCTGTGTCTGAACACAGGAAGCAAGAGGACAGCATCCTCTTTCCACTTTAAAGGACAAAGCGTTCTGAGTGGTGACATCATGTTGAGGCCACAGTTACCAGGGCCAGAGCTGAGACTTAAGCTGTTGGTTTCACATACTCTTGGTGACAGAGATGTGTTTCTGGCC